TTTTATTCCAACATAAAGTACACAAATCTTTAAATTGTTAAAATTTCATGTCTGTATTAACATAATTATTATATATGCCGTAAATTCATTCCATCTTGTCGAAAGAGAATGAGAAAATCTACATTATTCCGTATTAGATGTTTTTGGATTCTCGCATGAGTTTGACGAAGATAAAAACTATCGATATCTTTGTGACGACCCATACAAAAAATATGCTCGAACATTATCTTGCTTCGCACGAGCTATATCATCAAATATCATAATGGAATTATGTTGAGCATCATCTGTCTTTACAACTTGTTCATTATCATTGAATGGAAAAAAACCAACGGCATCAATCGGCTCAAGTAGTTTTTCCAAGTATTTATATTTAGGTTGATTTAATGATTTAGAATACAAATAAATATTTTCAAATCTTAATTTATTTGGATGAGTGACTAGGGCCTACAATGCATTTGTTTTTCCACTATTAGACGGTCCACAAATAACTGAGCGTAGAGTATTTTGTAATAATTTACCATGACGTTTAGTCTTTGTATTTTCTTCCATTGGTATAATTTTATCAAAATTTTATACAGATAATTTCGAATCTTGTGGTTTAAACTCCATCTCGATAATGATTAAGCGTAAAGATTCAAATATCGACACTTTTATAGTTTTTATTTAGTTGAATAATGACTGTTAAGAGAAAAACATCCAAAAATATCAGTGCTCTGCAGTGGTCGGGGTGCGACCCGAAAGGTCCACACGACCAACTTTTCAGTGGAAAAAATGAAAAAACACCTCGAATAGAACCCGTTTCCATTCTTTATAATGAATGAGTGTGTTTTTATTCATTTGATATGGTTAGTTACTTCATTTCCGTAAAAGAAAAAATTGTGCGTTAGAAGAATTCGAATGTACCTCATAGATCCTTTTTTTTATTATTTACAACGAATTTCATTGTTATACACGAAAAAAGTATGTTTTCATTTATTTGATACGGTTGGTATTATTTTTTTAGTAAAAGAAAAAATTATGCGTAAAAAGTATTCATATATTTATATATATATATATATATATATATATATATATAGAATTGGTCCCTATTTTTATTGTTTATAACAATATAAAATTTGTTATTTAATTATCATCATGATCAATAATCATTTGTTAGTAACAATGTTCGATTGTTATGGACACAATTTCATATGATTAACAATTATCATTGACTATTGTAGCGTCTTCAATGCTATTTTCTCAATCCTGACACAAGTTTAAAATTCTTTCATTGCTGATTTTGTTTTTTAAAATTTCTTTGATAAAATATTGTCTGATTTTGAAATTTTGTCTAAAAAATGGTATAATTTATAAATTGCAAAATTCAGATAATTTCTTTTTTTTCCAGTTTTTTGATTCTGCCAAAAAAATGGCTCTACCGATTTTCCTGAAAACTTTTCCAGTTCTAAGTTGCGCAATTACTTGTCAAATGCAGTTGGTTCCACGTCGATATCATTTTTTGTTCTCAAGATAATCGAGGCGAAAAATAATTCCGGACGTACGTACGCACATATGCACATACGCACATACGTACATACACACACACAGACGTCCACTGGAAAACGGTCGTATTGGATTCGCGGAACCTTAAAACGTGGAGATATGTCAAAATTAGCGATTCGCAAAATCGAACCCATTACTATAACTTCCCACTGGGAAGTTCAAAAGAGCAGGAATACTAAATTCATAAATAATTTACCTGATGAATTACATATTCCAGGCTATCAATTTTGTGGACCAAAATCACAACAACGATTGGCTCGAGGTAATTAAGGAATCAATCCATTAGATACTGCTTGTCGAGCACATAGTATAGCATATTCTCAGAATAGAGAAAATCTATCAGACATTTAGCAGATAAACTATTTGCTGAAAAAGCGTGGCAACGCGTACTACCTAAAGACGCTGACTTAGGTGAAAAAATAGCCGCGTGGAGTGTTGTGAACGCTATGAAACTCAAGACAAAATTTGGAATAGGATTAAAGGAAAAGAAAGTTAACTCACGAAAGAAGAGAGTAAAAGGAGGACAAATAAAGAAAAAGAAAACTCCACAACGTAAATGTCGTCTACCTTTAACGAAAAGATCTGGTGGCTAGTTACCACTGCTTCCATTGTTAGCAGGTTCAAGTGCCACAGGTGCCCTAGCAAGGGGTGCTGCTGGGATCGCTAAGGCTGTCAATAGCGCCAGAGCAGCAAACAAACAGTTGAATGAACTTAAACGTCATTGTTGAGAATTAATTAATTCTCAGTTTGAATTTGCCAGGTGACAGGAACTTCAGCGGCCATCTTGGGACTGGGTCGATAACCAATCGACCAAATAATCAATATTTCTTAATCTAGTCACTTATTTGACTCATTTTCAGTGTCCCTTTTAACTACTGAAGTTCCTGTCGCCATTCTCTCACTGTTCTCGTTCACGTGTATACGCCATTCTTATTCATTCTTAACAAATCTTACAAGTTTGAGTCAATCATCAGTATTAGTGCTATTGAGATCATCAGAGCCATTCAAGCTTCATTCTATAACTAGAATCAAGTAATATTTCAAGATTTTTCATTGTAATTCAAGACATTTCATTAAGATTCATTTTGCATTGCATTGATAGGCTAACGCCACGTGCACAATCACATTCTTGCTGAACTTGAGAAGCGTGCTGAGCTCGTGTGCGAGGTCAATAATACCGAACACACCAAGTTGAGTATATTTTGGACATTCAATTCAGATACTTCATTTTTTATAAAACCTGACTTCCGTTTGCACTGTTCCGGCACAATCATCCCTATCCTTAAACGGTTAGGTTAATTCACAAGTTGAGATTTTCTCAACATTTAATGGTCCTTCGAGCTGGATCAGAGCTTTCGGTTGTGAAGTACTAAAATTTTGGTGCCACAAGTGGAAAAAGACGAAGACAATCAAGTGTTCAAGTGCACAAAATGGCCGACCAACAAAAAAAGATTGAGAACCAAGAATCCAAGACCTCAAAACCTCAACCAACAATCAGCGTGACTTCTGACGATGGCGTAGAGAAGTTTGGTAGTCCAACTGATTAATTAGAAGAGCCAGATCTCCAGCCACAACGGAAATCAACTACGGAGAGTGTTATACAGACAATCACACCACACAATCTAGGTCTACCTGTGCAATTGACCTTCAAAATCAAGTCTCAAATAGCTCGGCTACGCTTAGCCCAGTCATTTACACAACAAATCACTGACCAACAACAGACAATCACTAAAGAAGAAAGACTCTCGCTGGAAAAACGACTCACAGCGTTGCACGAGTCTTTTAATTCAGAACATCAAGTACTCGAGGAGGTTTGGCCACCATCTCAATTTCATCATCCGTACATTGTGGATGATGTCTTTAAGACATTCAAAAAATCAGTCTCAGATTTCTTCATGATATCTGCTGAAGTAGCTTCCAAGGAACTTCCAGCACAATCAACATCAACCAGTGGTACATCAGACGTCGCACAAGCTTTAGCCCGACTTCCTAAGCTGTCAGTGCCCAAATTTCATGGAACCAGTGCCTCCTGGTTGTCATTCAGAGATCAATTCGAGTCCATGATAGCCAATCAACCTGGTCTGGATGAGGTCATCAAATTCAATTATCTTAAATCAGCTCTCTCAGGTCCAGCTCTCTCTCTGGTAGAGAACCTTCCTCACACGAAGGAAACATTCACAAAAGCATGGGCGACACTCAAGTCTAGGTATGAGAATCGCAAGAGGCTCATTAATGTTCACCTGGAAAACGTCTTCAGCCAGTTTGCTGAGTCGAAAAGAGCTCCACTACATTCAGCCAAGATCTCATCCTTACTCACTCTAGTAGACAATTCATTAGACTCACTCAAGTTATTGGGACAATCAACCGAGAATTGGGATACGATTCTCATATTTCACATTCTCAAACACCTCGATCAACATACTCGTGAGCTCTGGGAAACCCAGGACAATAATCTTGAGCGAATGCCTACATACTCAGAGTTCCATGACTTCCTATTGGCTCGGATTCGTGGTTTGGAGAAACTGGAGCCACGCGTCAAATCAGACAATTAACAACGCTCATCCCATTCAACAACCAGTGAGCGTAGATTCATTTGTGACTGCTGCAATGGTAGTCATTTCATCGTAGTCTGTTCAGAATACAGGGCTTTGCCTCTTGAACAGCGATTGAGGACTGTAGACAGTAAAAAACTGTGCAGAAACTGTCTTAGAAGACACAACACACCAGCTTGCACCAACAAGAACAGATGTAAGGAGTGCAACTCTAAACATCATACAATGTTCCATTCTGTTTAGACAATCATCAGGCAATAACAACAGCCTTCAACTTCACAGCAATGAGGAGGCGAAGCAGTCTTCGAAGAACATTCAAACAATTCACAGACATTCAAGCTTACTGATGGACTTGCTCTGGAGGGTCAAACTGACTGGATGACCTTAGCACATGAGGTTTCGGCCTCAGGAGGGTTAAGGGTTCAGTTGGAATGGTCCAAAGGACAAGTTCAGAAGCATCAAAATCATCTAGGACAATCAAAAGGTCAGAATGACCACAAGACAATCAATCAACATTCAACTAGTAGTGCTATCAGCACACAAAATCATCAATCAAGTGACGTCAAATCAACTCAACTTAGTAGACAATCATCGACAAGAGCAATCTGCTCAAGTCAAACGATTCCAAGTCATCTACATGATGATCATTCAACGCTGTTAGCAACAGCAAAAGTCAAAGCCAATTCACATTCAGGGAGTTACATTGCACGAGTGCTCATAGATCCTGGATCAGAGCCAACATTAATCACTTCTCAAATAGCCAATCTGCTGTAACTGAGAAAACACCATCAGACAATCAACATAAGAGGAGTGGGCAGCTCTAAGCTCACTCAAACAAAAGGTGTAACATTCTGCGAGCTACAATCATTATCATCCAATCATTCAGTATACATTCGAGCTCACATAATGAAACAGTTGACAGCTTTAATTCCAAAAGTGCCATGTAATTATCCCAACAATCACTGGCCTCATCTCAATGGACTGACACTAGCCGATCCAACATTCCACAATCAATAGACATTCTACTTGGAGCTGATTTTTATGGACAGATCATTAAACAACAGATCATATTTTAATCTCCAACAGCTCCTATAGCTCAACTTTCTATCTTTGGTTGGCTAATTCTTGGTCCAGTAGCACCAAATTCATCAGTCAATCACTATCATATTCATCATGCTACTACAATCACGAACTATGAAGACATTCAAGAGTTGCTGACAAAATTCTGGGTCCAAGAAGAAGTTCCGATGTCAAATCAACATCAATTATCATCCTTGGACCAACAATGTGAAGATTTCTTCAAATCAACTCACTCTAGACATTCATCAGGACGATACATTGTCAGAATTCTATTCATCTCTTTACCTGCAGCTCTTGCAGACTCCTATACAACTGGGTATCGATGCTTGAAACGTCAGTTGAGGAGTTGAACCAGCGAGACTGAGTACAGCAATCTCTATAGACAATTCATGACGGAATAGGAAGAACTCGGTCATATGAGACCCGCTCCAACACACAATCAAGATTCTCAAGACATTCATCCATACTTTCTCCCTCATTATGGGGTATTAAGACCAAGTAGCACTACTACCGAGCTTAGAGTCGTCTTCAATGGATCCAGCCCGAGCTCAACTGGAGTTTCATTGAATGACATCACTTACACCGGAGCTAAAATTCAATTAGACATCTTTGACGTACTTCTTTGGGTCCGTCAACATCAATACGTATTCGCAACTGACATAACAAAAATGTATCGTCAAATAATGGTTCATCATGAAGATTGGAAGCTTCAACAAATTCTTTGGCTAGATAATCACAACAAAATCATTCCATATCAACTCACAACAGTAACCTACGGCACTAGATCAGCTCCTTATCTAGCAGTCCGCGTGTTACTGCAATTAGTAGAGGATGAAGGCCATAAATATCCAAAAGCAACTCAGACAATCATTGAAGGCAGACATGTCGACGACATATTTGGAGGAGCAGATTCTCCAGAAGAATTAATTCAAGTTGCTGAAAAATTCATCTACTTGTGAAAGGCGGGCGGTTTTCCCCTTGCAAAATGGCAATCAAACAGTCAATCACTTCTTCAAAAAACGTCACAATCATCAGGCAATCAACAAAAAATCACCTTCGAAGACTGCACTACAAAAATTCTTGGACTTCAATGGAATCCAAGCTCAAACACATTTACATTCACATCAAAATCAGTCACTCATGAGTCAACATATTCAAAACCTCTTATTCTTTCATAGTCCAGTCAAATGAGGGAAATGGGATAATTTTGGTTTGCTGCGGCCAAATTAATGATTTATAGATGACTGGATTAAAAATTTCGCGAGAAACACAATGGTGTAGGTTAAAATTGTTTGGAACGCATAGGGGGGGAGTAAATCGCGAAAAACCACCCCCCTCGCGAATTTCTCGATTTCTATGATAGATACGGAAAAATTTTTTAAATAAAAGTTGTTCAGAATTTAATTTTAATAAAAAAAGTACTGAACACTTTTTTTCATATCTGTGATAGATAAAAAGTTATTCGCGACTGAAGCTTCACTAATGACAAAAGCTTCAGTCGCGTCTAAGAAAATTAATAAAAAATACGTAGTGTTAGAAATATTACTTTTTGGCGATTTATTCAGAAAAATGAGATATTAAATTACATTTTTAGAGGAAAATTTTTTTTTTTTATTAATTAACTTCCCAGCGGGAAGTTATAGTAATGGGTCCGATTTTGCGAATCGCTAATTTTGACATATCTCCACGTTTTAAGGTCCCCAGAGTTGAATACGATAATTTTTACGTGGACGTCTGTGTGTGTGTATGTACGTATGTGCGTATGTGCGTATGTTCGTATGTGCGTATGTTCGTATGTTCGTACGTGCGTTCGGAAATATTTTTCGCCTCAATTATCTCGAGAACAAAAAATGATATCGACGTGGGACCAACTGCATTCGACGCGTAATTACGTAACTTAGCACTAATTAGATTTTTAGCAAAATCGGTCCAGCCATTTTTAATGCAGAATCAAAAAACTGAAAAAATAGTGAACTACCTAAATTCTGCAATTTATATATTATACCATTTTTTAGACGGAATTTCGAGATCTTTTGAAAAATATGAATATCAAATGTTTAGAATAATTGTACAGGAATATGATGACAGTATTTCATAGGAAGAAAATTGTTAAAAAACGAGATCAGCAATAAAGAAATTTTAAACTTGTGTTGGGATGGAGAAAATAGCGTTGAGAATAATAAAATAGTCAATGATTATTGTTAATAACGAGAAATTGTGTTCATAACGATTAAACATTGTTAATAACAAATGATTATCGATCATAATAATATTTGAATAAAAAATTTTTTAATTGTTATGAACAATGCGAATAGAGATCCATACAATATATTTGAATTCTTTTAACGCGTAATTTTTTCTTTTGCTAAAATAAAGTTACCAACCGTACGACATGAATGAAAACTCATTCTTTTTGTTTATAACAATTAAATCTGTTATGAACAATGGAAATAGAGATCCATACAATATATTCGGATTCTTCTAACGCGTAATTTTTTCTTTTGCTAAAAAAAAGTTACCAACCGTACGACATGAATGGAAACTCATTCTTTTCGTTTATAACAATTAAATCTGTTATAAACAATGAAAATAAAGATCTATGCAATGTATTTGGATTCTTGTAACGCGTAATTTTTTTTTTATTTTTTTCACTGGGAAGTTGGTCGTGTGGACCTTTCGGGTCGCACCCAGACCACTGCAGAGCACTGATATTTTTTTCATTATTTTTATTAACAATTAATTATTTACATCCTTCTCATTTTTGTTTAAATGCACCGATCAGCCCGATTTTGTGCTCAAAATGTGCAGAATTAAAAATGGAACATTTCATATATGCAAAGTTTTTCATTACTTCGCACCTGTTAAAAGTTATACAGGTATAAATATTTGGGCCCTCGAGAGCACTTTTCCTCTTCTGCCGCCGTTGGGTGCGACAGAGAGCAATATATATTTCTCTGCTTCACTCGCACTCACACAAAACTTCTGTGCATGCGCCGAGTATGGTAAAACATGAGTGCGAGTGAAATGCTCAATCCAACTGTAAGTGTGACAAAGACACTATACGGTGAGTGAAGAGGGGATGTTTTGGGCTCATGCTGGTTGCTTTGAAAATCTTTCCGAGCTCGAAATGTATTCGCGCGAGATTTTTTGCGTATGCACATTTTTAGATTTATTAAGGTAATTATGTAGGAGATGAAAATTTTCTTTCTCCCGAATAATTAATTTTTCCTCCATCCTTTTTTTTTTTTTAAATTTATATGGATGACTTTCGGTCATCACGAACGTGCAAAAATTGGCATACATGCTCTCGGAGGTGTCAAGAATATGTATGCACATTTTTAGATTCATTGGAGTAATTGTGTAAGAGATATAAATTTTTTCTCTTCCACATAATTATTTTTTTGCGCCGGAAAATCGGAAAAAAGGTCCCAAAAAGTATAGCTAGATCGATAGGAAATTTAATTCTCTATCGATCTATATATATGACTATTAGACTTAAAATTCAAAAAAATTTCCTAACATTTAAAGCACGTAAAACTTAGAAAAAATCTCGCGCGAATACATTTCGAGCTGGGAAAGATTTTCAAAGCAACCAGCATGAGCCCAAAACATCCCCTCTTCACTCACCGTATAGTGTCTTTGTCACACTTACGGTTGGATTGAGCATTCGCACTCATGTTTTACCATACTCGGCGCATGCGCAGAAGTTTTGTGTGAGTGCGAGTGAAGCAGAGAAATATATATTGCTCTCTGTCGCACCCAACGGCGGCAGAAGAGGAAAAGAGCTCTCGAGGGCCCAAATATTTATACCTGTATAACTTTTAACAGGTGCAAAATAATGAAAAACTTTGCATATATGAAATGTTCCATTTTTAATTCTGCAAGCTTTTGTCAATAGTAAAGCTCCAGTCGCGAATAACTTTTTATCTATTATAGATATGAAAAAAAGTGTTTGGTACTTTTTTTATCAAAATTAAATTCTGAACAACTTTTATTTGAAAAATTTTTCCGTATCTATCATAGAAATCGAGAAATTCGCGAGGGGGGTGGTTTTTCGCGATTTACTCCCCCCCTATGCGTGCCAAACAATTTCAACCTACACCATTGTGTTTCTCGCGAAATTTTTAATCCAGTCATCTATAAATCATTAATTTGGCCGCAGCAAACCAAAATTATCCCATTTCCCTCATTTGACTGGACTATCAGAAGTAGTTCAAATTTATGATCCTTTGGGGTTTGTGTCACCAATCACAATCAGAGCTAAGATGCTCCTTCAAGAACTCTGGTTACACAACCTCAGCTGGGACGAACCAGTCCCACAATCGATCATCAATCGCTGGCTGATCATCAGGGAAGAATTCACTCAACTTCATGAGATCTCACTTCCACGATGGATTCACACAACCAGACATTCAACTGTAGAAGTTCATGGATTCTCTGATGCCTGACAGCTTGCGATGGCTACCGCAATCTACCTCAAAATTAATTCACTCTCCACAGGACCCAAAATCACACTCATCTGTGCGAAAACTAAAATAGCACCAATCAAACAAATCACGATCCCCAGGCTAGAGTTAACAGCTGCGTTAATTCTAGCGAAACTCACAAAGTATGTTCGAGCTACACTCCACGGAGTGAACATACATTCAATTCACTTATGGACAGACTCTTCAATCACTTATTCATGGATCAATTCAAATGCAGGACGCTGGAAGGACTTCGTTAGGAACAGACTAGTGCAAATACAAGAACTAGTTGCGGACGCGCACTGGCACCACATTTTTGGCAAGGAAAATCCAGCGGACTGTGCTTTAAGAGGCATTACAGCCAATCAATTAAAAGATTACTCGCTATGGTGGAGGGGGCCCACCTGGTTAGCTGAAACTCAAGAAAACTGGCCAGTAAATTCACCACCAGCTGACGAGGCTTGCAACTTGGAAGCTCGTCCTGGAATTTCACTCATAGCAACCATTTAAGATACAAGTCCAATGGGACTTGGTTAACAGATATTCTACTCTCAACAAGTTACTCAGAATCACCGCCCTAATTATAAAATTCACTTCAAGACTTCGACATTCACCAGTTACCAGTCCTGTAGCATCAATCACAACAGCTGACATCGAAAAGGTCGAGAATCTTCTGGATAAAGTCTACTCAAGCAGCACATTTTCACCAAGAAATCAGGACTTTATCCAACAATCAACATCTTCCACCAAATCATTCATTCAACAGACTCACAGCATACGTTGACTCAGAAGGAGTTCTACGAGTAGGAGAACGACTTCAGCATGCTCAGTTGAGTCATGATTCAAAACATCAATCAATTCTACCTTGACATTCACCATTCACCGCTCTTATTATTAGACATTATCATTTAACCACACTACATGGTGGCACTTAACTTACACTCACAACAATCAGACAACGTTACTGGATCATGGGTGAAAGAGCTCCAGTAGAAACATTCATTCTTCGGTGCATCAAATGTGCTCGACAAAGAGGCATAAAAGTACAACAACTCATGGGCCAATTGCCATAATCACGTATCACTTCTTCACGGCCATTCTCTCATACTGGCATAGATTATGCTGGGCCATTCACAATCAGAACATCATCAAGCAGAGGAGCCAAGACAAGAAAAGCTTGGGTCTGTGTATTCGTCTGCATGTCAACTTCTGCAGTTCACTTGGAAGCAGTTAGTGTCTATTCATCTAAAGCATTCATTGCTGCCTACAGAAGATTCACCTCTAGACGAGGATTATGCAAGACAATCTATTCTGACTGTGGCAGAAATTTCATAGAAGCTGGTATAGAACTCAAGAAACTATTCACACAATTCACCAGAGAACATGAGGTCATCTCTAGATTCATCATCACCAACGGCACTAAATGGTCATTCAACCCACCTGTAGCACTGAACATGGGTGGCAAGTGGGAGTCAGTAGTGAAATCACTTAAA